CTTGTCAAAAGTCCAGTTAGGCCTAAGTTGACAAGCCGAACTATTTTCTCTATTACTATTTCACTAGTATTCTGTGTGTGATTCACTTACAATTGTAGTGCGAGTTACCGTAATCGTTTGATCTTCTTTCTTCTAAATATCCTCTGTTCTTTTTGTCAAAGTGCACTCAGGCTGATTCAGTTACTTGAGAACCACGCTTTGACGGAATAAATTATTTTCATATTTCCTTTTCTACTGTTAGTCTTATTTTAACATATTAAACGTTAGGCCTATCACTTCTACGGTAGCTAACTTCACGCCGAACTTTTCCTTGCCCGTAACTTTATTCTCTTCTGTTTGATGTTTTCGCTCATCTCACACTATTTATATCTTTATCACTTAATCGTTTGTCCACCTTCTAGAAATCTCTATATTCGTGACGTTCGATAGTCTCAACATCAATGAATTATAAACACAACTTTTTACAGTTGTCTGCTTTGAACTCTTATTATAACAAAAACTAAACACTAATAAAATATTAACTCACAAAATAAATTAATCAATTATATCTAAGCTAAACAGTCTTTTATATTGTGACATAAACCCCCTTCGAGATAAATATTTACAATATTTTCTAATATATACACAAAGACTGTCCTTAGTTCATCCCCAAAGTCTGCTCATACAGTCTGCTCCAACATTTACAGTTCCTTTGTCTGTCTCTCCTTGCATAGGGTCTCCAGTAGGACTTTCCCTTAACGGGATCCCTCATTTTTATCTTCACCTTGTGTTGCCTGAGGTCCGTATTTCCCAATCTATCTGTATGCTGACACAATAGATTTTGTTCCTCTTCCTATCAGTCAGTTTGACACTCATGTTGGCGTCCTTGAACATCTCATATCTACTCAGTGCTCTTAGGCATAGTAGGTCCTTATCTTCTGTAATGAAGTCGCTGTCTTCAGATTCTACTTCCATGACAGCCACACCTGCCATGTCCATTTGTACATCAATAGTTGGACCCGTTGGTTCTTCTTCTCTCCCAAAATACTTCTTCAACAGATTAGCATGGTAGATCTTAGTCTTCCCGTTTACATTCACCTTATATTTCATTCTGTTGAGTACTTCTTGTACTTCAAAATGTCCTTTCCATTGCAGGGCGAGTCTGTCTGTGGGCAGCAAAACTAAGACCTTGTGTCCAACTTTGAAACATCGATCTTTGGTCTTCTTGTCATAGAAATGCTTCTAACTGCCTTGAGCGAGTTGGCAGGTCTTCTCCAGTCGTTTTCTGAGGCCTAACACATACTGGTACTTGTTCCTTACTTCTGAATTTTCTTCTCCCGTCTATAGCTCTTTCAATATTTGCATCAGACCTCGTACTGTTCTTCCATACAGTAACTCGAAGAGTGAAAATTCTGTATTTGCTTGTGGGACTTCTCGATAAGTGAATAATACTGCCTGCAATTACCTGTCCCAGTCATGTAGTCTCTCTTGGCACATCTTCCTTAGCATGCTATTTAAAACTCCATTGACTCTCTCACAAAGTCCATTACATTAAGGATTGTACGGGGTGACAAACAGTTGCTGGGTACTAATGAGTCTGCACACTTCCTTCATCAGTTCTGAAGTAAACTGTGTCCCTCTGTCACTCAGAATTTCTCTCCGAAAGCCTACTCTGCAAAATATCTCAGGAAGGGCTTTTGCTACTCTGTCTGTCTCTATCTTAGCCAGTGCTATTGCTTCCGGATAACATGTCGCATAGTTGACTACTGTCAGCACATATCAGTTACCCTTGTCAGAAACAGGCACTAGTGGCCAGATCAAATCCACAGCTACTCTGTTGAACGGCTCTTCTATGAGAGGCATCTCCCCCAATGGCACTTTAGCTACTTTTCCTCTAAGTATTGTCCTTTAGCAGATGTCACATGACCTGTAGAATCAACTCACATCTCTGATGACTCATGGCCAATGGAAATTACTGATGGTTCTATCTGCCATTTTCTTTGTTCCTAGGTGTTCTCCCACAATTGATTAATGAGCCAACTTCATCACTTGCGTCCGGTATTCTGTTGGTACTATGATCTGTTCAACTTCCCCAGTTTAACTGCCTTGATAGATTCGGTATAGAAGTCCCTTCCAGTCCTCTGTTCTATAAGTATCTTTCCCCTTTGTTTTGTGCACGACTTTCTCCCGGGCATTGTCACAAAGTTTCTGCAGTGAAGGGTCTTTCTTCTGTGCTTCCTTCAGTTCCTGCAAACCTAAATTCGGAATGTCGCCTTTTAAACTTTGCAGTGGCTTGATGTCTTGTTTGCTCTTCTTTTCTTAAGCTCTGGTGGTGATAACAGATGCTTCATCAATCTTCTTTCTGTCTTGTTCCTCCAAATTTCTACTACCTGGTACGTTAATTATCACCAAGCCGTGTATTGGTTCCTTGATACACATGGCCTCAAGGTCTCCTACATAATATGGAGTATCCAACTTTATTTTTGCAATGGGAAATTTTCTCACTGTCCTATCAATTAGCACATATAGGCGTACCTTGCCTGTTATCTGATCTTCAGATACTAGACTGGTTCTCAATGCTGCACTACTGCACCAAGTGTCTCTTAAAATCTTAATGTTCTTGTCCCCAACATAGCCTTTACATATTGGCATATTATTATTATTTGTTGGCACTCTTTTTTTAGTCTCTAACTAGTGTGGGGTTTATGTCTG